TAGAATGTAAGTATAAGTAAGTATGGTATTGTATGTATAACTGTTGTTGTGTGTTTTATCCAGGTTGTTTTTTGGTGAAAAGCACCTTAGCTTTCCCCCTACAAAACAACTTATAAAGAGGGGAGGTGTTACATACAGCACTGATGTTACCTGTCTGTCATGGGTTTGGAGGGAAAGTTCCATCCTATGGGGAGTGGAAGGCGGGACATCAGGAGGAGGGGCTGTACTGTATATATATGTGAAGCGTGTGTGGAGAGCTGAGGAGACGAAGCAGCAGCTGGGAAGAAGAAGCTGGGGTGGGAGTCCAGATCCCAGTAGGTCTGGGTTTGCCACAAACACATCCTCACATTTATGTTTTTTAAATTGCTTTGGAAAACAAGGTACAAGAAGTGTTTCAAAGATCCCCCAAAAGGAAGTCGTTTTTGAGACAGATTGTTACATGTCAGTGTGTAAATCCTAGAGGAAACTTCAGGATGATCTGTGACCAATGTACCCTCTAATTTTCAACACCTCTGGGCAGGGCTCCGCTTTTCTTGCATGGCGTTTCACCCCTGCGTGTGCTGGGTTCTGTCGCACCCGGAATCTCATGCAATTGCTGCGTGGAGTAGTAAGAGAGCTGCGCTGAGGGAAGCGGAGTCATGCACGCACACCCAACTTAGCGGGAACCTTGTCTGTGACCAAGCACAATCATCTGGGGTACAGTGGGGTCTCGACTTACAAACGGCTCGACATACGAACGTTTCGACTTACAAACCGCTCTCATAGGAATATATGGACTCGACTTATGAACTTAGATTCGAGTTACGAACTCTTTTTTTTCCTTTTTTTTAAAGCTAAGTCATCTTAGGTTAAAAGGAAAAAAGAAAAAAATATCCCCCTCTAGTGGCAGAAGGCGGAATAGCAGCTTCCCATTAGTTTCTATGGACAAAAAGAGCAGATACGGATTAAATGGTTTTCAATGCATTCCTATGGGAAATGCAGATTCGACTTAAGAACTTTTCGACCTGAGAACTGCCTTCCAATACGGATTAAGTTCGTAAGTCGAGACCCCACTGTAGTAGTTTTGGAACGGCCCTCAGTCAGATGAAAGCTTTTATCTAGGTTTTCTTGTTCTCAGAATATGGTTCTTTATTAGTAATTAGGAAAGGTAATCTTGCAAGTAACCCAACCAAAAAGTTCACAAAAATGTTCTTAACTTATTTGCCAAAGGATGGGAAGTGAGTGGTTTGTCCATCTAATGAGCCTATTCAGACTAGGGGAAGTGAAACCAACATGGATGATATATCAGGGGTCTCCCACCAACTGTCCTCAGACTGAAGAAGCTACTTGGATGAGTAGCAAAACGTTTCAACCTAATAAGAAAGAAGTCTAGTTGCCATGACTCAGCTTCCGGAGTTCATGCACATATGCTTCCATTCTCTCTCTTTCTCTTCTCAACCTACCTTTTCTGTCTTTCTTTTTGTGAATTAACACTTCCTGTTTGTTTGTTTGTTTGTTTCTTTAATGTATACCTTACTCCCCTGCTCCTCCACCAGTACTGTATATGTTGTTGTACTGGAGAAAAATCACACTATAAACAGTTTCCAAGTCTACAGGGAGGGTAAAGCAACATAGAAATCCACCTAGATTATATTATGGGAGAATTCCATTTAAAGTTAACGTGCATGGTGATTTGCAAGATGTAGTGTATTACTTCCATTCCACCTCTGCAAATAATAATAATATTATGGACTAAGTCTTTAAATAGTGGCAGTTTGAAAAGCAGAAAATGAAAAGAGCAGGCAGGACTTGGAAATTTTACTTGAGGCCAGACTGTATGTCCATATCATCAAGGAGAAGTCTTTAGTCCAAAAAAATAATTTCTATAAGCTAAATCAGAATGGCAGTATAACTATAAAAGAAATATTTGCTAGGTGAGAGCTTTCTATGTGCCTGATATAAGGTGATAATCTCCCATTTTAAAGCAGTATACTAAAGTATTTCTCTTTTGTTTTACACAGCCCCTTTTATGGAGAAGACTTTTACTGTGAAATTCCACGGAGTTTTCGTCACCTGGCATTTTATATTTTTGATAGAGATGTTTTCCGCAGGGATTCAATCATTGGTATGTGTTTTTGTGTTAATTCAATTTTAAATTTAGCTCTTATCTTCAGTATTTCCCCCTATTAGGACGGTTTCAGTCATTCTGATATCTGTTGAACATTGAACATCTATAGGAAATAACTTCTTTGCTATTTTCTGTTAAGTGTGCAATGAAAATTTCCCCCTACTGTTCTTTATATTTGGGTTACGTGCTAGGCTTCTTTATGGATTTGAAAATAAATTCCACACTGCTATTTTAATACAGAATTTTAGTTAAACCCATAAAGAATAAATCACCCTAATAATTAAGGTATGGGTAAGTTTTTCTTCCTTTACTGTGAATTGAAAATGGCTTTTTTTGGAACAGAAAAACAAATATTCGATATAAACAGAATGACTTACCTGAACATCTCATGAAATGCATGGCTTCAGTTTATCTGTTAAGAAGGATAAAGAGATTAGTAAGCCCTGGTTATTATTGAAAGGTTGCCTTGTCTTTAAAACTGTTTCCATATTGTTAAACTTTCTAAATGTTTGCCTTGATTCTTCTTAGAGCTTAAAATAAACATCAAATGTGACTTGATTATTATTAGTTTGATTTGGGTTTTAAATGACACAACGTACAGTTTTGTTTTGGTTTCAATGAATGTTCTGTATTGCCAGTATTCCAGTACACGAATAAGGAGTGTGTACAGTAAGAAATTTGGACTAGGGTGGATGGGAGAAGCAAGTATCATAACGCATATAAAGATGCTGGAAAAGCCGGAAGTATATTCTGTCTAATGGGCTAGTATCCTCCACAGCTTCCTCCACATAGAAAGTCCCACTAGTATAGTAATGGACAATTGTACCACTTGTGAAAAATATATGTAATTTAAAAAAAAGTAAATAATTAAATAAATGTATTTTTCATGCAGATCATTGCCTTGCAATGATACCTGCAGTGGACATTATCTGCAGCGGCTATTTTCAGTGCCTAAATACTTCCTCCTCTTGTCCCATAGCTCTGAGGGCCTCAGAGGGATTTTACAGGAGCTCTGGCAGCTTTTGGCCTTTGAAGGCCAAAAACAGGAAGTTTTCAGTTTCTGAAAACACTCCCCTGCTTGATGACATAATCAGACGTCTGCAGGTGTAGTTGTAAAAACATGATTTCAGCCTGTAGGGCTTGAGACTCATAGAATATTCAGTGTTGCTTCATTAGGTTATCGCTACTACCTTTTTTGTTTCTTTTCCAATCCTATATGTTTTTGTCCTTGTGTTCTTGTGACAACACTTGTGTAATGAGGAATGCAAAATCAACAAAAGAACCCCAAACCAAACTTGATAATGTTCTTAAAATGTCTTAACACAAATGACAGAGTCAGAAGGCAAAACATTTTTGGGGAAAAAAAGACAACATTCTGGAATATCTCATTCAGAGATGGGAACAAACCAAACAATGAACCAGGAAGTTTGTAAAAAAAATTGCTAGTTCATTGGATTGGGTCGGTTCAGGTTCGTCAAAACTGACAAAACAAAGTGAACCGAACCAACAAAACTTTGAAGTGATTTAACAAGCATCCTGGTTCATTTCTCCCCCTGGCCCCTCAGCCTGCCCCAGGTCCCTTCCCACTGACCCCGTCACCTCCTCCTCTTCCTCCTCCGCCACCAGCACCATCTTCAGAGACTGCAGCCTGGCTTCCCTTCTGGGAACTGGGCCTGTTGTCTCTCTGCACATGTACCCGCCTATCAGCTGATGGGCATGGACATGCACAGAGGCAGCAGCCTGACTTCCATGAGCCAGGCCTGCTATCTCTGTGCACACACACCAGGGTCCCAGTGGATCAGGGACAGCATTTTGGACCAATGTTCCCTGTAATGTGCTGCATGGCACTGGGTTAGGACCGCACATTTGCTTCCGGTTGCGGCCGGAATGATGATTGAGCAGGAGGAGGTGGTGGCAGGACAAGGTAGGGAAGTGATGGAAGCAGTGGGAAGAGGGCAGATGGGTGGCAGAGGGGGTGCTGGGGTTAGTTCACCTCCCCCCAAGGCATGAACTTTTTTAAAAAAATGTACTGTCTGTGGTTCATTATTTTAAAAAGTTCAGAAAGTTTGTGGTTTGTGGTTCATGGGTAGCCACAAACCACAAACCACCATGAACTGCCATTTTTCTGGTTTGCGCACCTCTCTAATCTCATTGTGTCTTTTTGATACTGGCCGAGGACTAGACCTATAAGGTCGCCTCCACATGTCTCAGTTTATACTGTTTAAATTCTATCAGAATGTTTTCTTTTTCTTCCCCAGTAAAGTCTCTTTCTCACTGATGAGTTAGTGGCAAAAGAAGTGTACTGTTGTGTGTTTCTTGTGTGGGATAAAGTCGTCTTTCTTCAGGAAGTGATTCTACTTTGAGGAAGACTCATCACATTTGGACAGTACTCAATTGGTACTATACTTTTGTTCGTCAAAATGCAATTATTCCATCAGCTAGTGCAGCAGTCCCCAACTGTTTTGGAGCCGTGGACCGGTTGGGGGGAGTGAGCCCCATGCGCGCGGAGACAGGGGCTCCCCCATGTGAGCTCAGTGTGTATGTCACGCTCTCACAATGTGCTTGTTGCACTCAGGGGGGCATGTTGCACCCCATGCAAGAGCATGACATGCCCCCTGCGTGAGTATGGCATGCCCACCATAGGCACAATGCCTCCTGGGCAAGCGTGGCATGCCTGCCACAGGCACGACACCCTCCACCGTGGGTGAGCGGGGAGGGGGCGGAGATCCACGGGCAGGGGGGCAGAGATCCGCAAGCCCACGGACTGGCACCAGGCCGCAGACCAGGGGTTGACGACCCCTGAGCTAGTGGGACCATTGTTGTTTGGAGAGCTTTCTGGAAGCAGTATCACGCACCTAATAGGTATTGTATTGTACTTTACTTCACTTAATCAAACAAACAAATCAAATAATCTATAAAGTAGAAGAAATGCTTCCATTCTCCCAGGACTGAGACCCAAAATGCTTTATGATATAGTATCATTGAAACATTAAATATAATTAAACCCATTGTAATGTTAGAACAGAATTGAAATTAAGAGATTTAAAAACATCTCAGTGAAAACAGTGAGTCATAATTTACATTAAAAATAGAAGAAATTCAGCACATTTAGTCCCAGATTCTTTAAAGCCCGGGAGTGGCCTTAGGGAAGACCCTTATCTCATCTTGACTTCAGAAGTTAGTTCAAATGAAAGAAGGCCCTCTCTTGCAGGTCCCAAAGCCCAGGCAGGCTTGTATTATATGTTATCTATAACTGGCCTTGTTCGCAGTCTGGCTGCAGTATTTTGAACCATCTGAAGTTTTCAAATTTCAGAGGTTCAAACGTTGCCCCTCAAAGAGTTGCTGACAAGTATTGAGCCTTACCCAGAAAAAACTGAGCTAGGAAGCTGTAACACACTATTCTACATATTCCCCCAGGAAGTCAATGCACTTGTGACACCTGTCCTGCAGCTTTTCAAGTCCCTGCAAATAAAATGCTTCCGGCTGCTGGTGTAAGCACTCATTTGCAGCATTAGTTGTCACCAGAACACTCCCAAATCGTTGTCCCTTTAGGTGTTTTTTTGAGTTTGGGGAACAGATGATAGTCGAAAGGAGCCTGGTTGGGAGAATAGGGTGGATGAGGCATCACTTGAAAGCCTAAGGAGGTCAATTTTGGTATTGTTTCACCTGCATTGTGTGATGAGGCGTTGTCATGCAACAGGATTACACCTTTGAATAACTTTCCTCGATGTTTTTCCTCGATGTTTTGCCTCAATTTTGTCAATAAAACACAGTAATATTTGGCATTGATGGTTGAACCCTGTTGGAGGTAGTCCACCAAGGTAAAGGTAAAGGTTCCCCTTGACAATTTTTGTCCAGTCGTGTTCGACTCTAGGGGGCGGTGCTCATCCCCATTTCCAAGCCATAGAGCCAGCATTTGTCTGAAGACAATCTTCCGTGGTCACATGGCCAGTGCGACTTAGACACGGAACGCTGTTACCTTCCCACCAAGGTGGTCCCTATTTATCTACTTGCATTTGCATGCTTTCGAACCGCTAGGTTGGCGGGAGCTGGGACAAGCGACAGGCGCTCACTCTGTCGCGTGGATTCGATCTTACGCCTGCTTGGTCTTCTGACCCAGCAGCACAGGCTTCTGCGGTTTAGCCCACAGCGCCACCACGTCCCTAGTCCACCAACAGGACTCTCTTCTTATCCCAAAAAACTGTTGCCATTTGCTTCTGCACCGACCTTTGCACTCGGAACCTGGGGGAACCACTGTGCCTCCATTCCTTAGACTGTTCCTTTATCTCAGGATCATAACAGTAGATCCATGTCTCATCACCAGTTACCAGTTTGCCCAGGAAATCTGACTCATTTCTTGCAAAATGTTCCAAAAAGCCACCGATGATTCCACACATTTCCTCTTTTGTTCAGTTGTCAAAATATGGGGATCCACTTTGCTGTCAACTTTCTCATTTCCAAATTGTTGTGGATAGTGGCACCAACTCTCTCATGTGATATTCCCAGTTATGTAGCAATACTTCTGGCTGATATTTGGTGGTCCTTCATGATCATGTCATGGATGGCTTTCACATTTGCAGGCACACAGACAGAAACAGGCCTTCCACTGGGTTTCTCACTTTCAACACCGAAATGGCCAGTTTAAAAATTGACAACCCAACGTTTAATTGTTGCATACGAAGGGCCACTGTCACCCATAGTTTGTAACATTTCATCACTGATCTGCTTCACACGTTTCCCTTGGAAAAACAGGAACTTGATTATGGTCCTATGCTTTTCCACATTGAGCTTTTCTAGAGGTGCTGCCATGTTCACTTTGGACCTGAAAATGAAAGATAAGTTAAAATCATAGGTAGTTGATTTTTGCACCATTGAATATAGACAGATTGGCTAATGCACCCTGCAATTTATAGCTTCCTAGCTCAATTGCTGTCTGTGTAAGGCTCAATACTTGTCAGCACCCCCTCATATAACACCATGCAGACATCTCCAGGAAA